AAGCCCTTTCGCAATATAGCTGGGGTCCAAAGTGCCGTTATTTACCATATAGACAAAATATTCCATAAAAATATGCAGCGCATTTGATTGATGTATCATTTCATTGGATCCAAAGATGGACGGTGAGAGTCCACCTAAATCACTCAATGGAACGTATAAAGCCGAAGGTAGGACTTTCCCAAAAGTATGTTTACGGAAGGACAGATTGGATAAATCATTGATTGACCCTGTGTCCATATTGATCATATTTCCATATCCATGCGGAGGTCCTGAGTTTGCGCTGAGTCCAAAGGCACCTTTTAACATTTCGGTTGTGGAGTGGCTGGAATGTAGCAACTTGTGCTGACTGCTGGATTGATCTACCATATCATCTCCAGGATTCAGTCTAGGTACACCAACTTGTGCTGCTGAAAGTCAGAGAAAACATTCAACTGAGAGGTCGGACTCTTACTCATCATCTCTCGGACATCCCTTTGGAATTCAAACCATGGAAGATTGTCCGTGTACACTTGTCGAAGTGCAATAGGCAGTGATTTATCACACGGGGTAGATACCTGGATACCCTCGGGCGTAGGGATATCTTCCAGGAGCTGTGCTTGACTGGTATAGGTAACATTTCGGGATATTTCCCTCTCGATAGATTTTTTCGACCTTTTTCTTCCACGAATATGGAAAACAGAATCCTTGCCTTCGAGTTTCCTTTTCTTCGTTTTCTGGTCCACGTACATCCACATAGTAGAGTTGGCGTACTTTTCCAACCCCCAAGCTTTTATCTTGGTGGTATACTGGTTTTCCCTAGAGAACAGCGATTAGCGGTAAGTTCAGGAGACTTTTAGAGAGTATATGTGTACGTTGCTTTGAAGCCGTGCCTTTCTTCCATGGTGTTCATCGTTTGTTTCAGTGTCTGTCTCTGATAAAGAGCAACAATCTCGTCTCTGAATTGCTCCCATATTGACGAGTCAATTCGTTTGGCCTTCATTTTCTGCGCTTAATAGCGAGTGGAAAAATAAATAAATGTAAGTAGTGTGAATAATTTGTATATACGTTGACTTCAGTAAAAGAACGTAGATAACAGGAACAAAGATCCGCGAAACCAAGAAAAGGGATGAAGGATTGTTAAATAGCCCGCTCTTCAAGGACAGCCACGAACAATTATTGCGGCTGCATGCGTGACACATCATCAGCCTCCGTCGAGGCAGAGTATGATTCGCCGATTGCACTTTTTGATTCAGCCTTGTTGCTTGAACGCTTCTGATTGGCCAAGGACAAAATCTGTTTTCCAAATTGTCTTGCTAAAGTGTCTAGAAAGGCCCCACATTAAACCAGAATCTGGATTGTACTCATTTCACAGCCTTTTCCAAATCTGGTTTCTGGATTTTAACCCCAGCTGGGTCGGGATTGACAGACACATTGCCACATTTGGATAAGGGAGATCATATTGTGGCCTCTGCCAATTATATGTCAGAAGACCAAAAATTCCATGCCCAGCCTGATTGCGTCTACTGTTGTTGATTGGTAGCTGCCAAAATCTTATTTCGAGAAGGCGTTTGGGATATTCCCACATATCATCATCCAAGTACTGCCACAATGTAGTTGATCTGCAGGTATTGCTTTTTGTCGTACATGTATAAGAGGGGCCACCATGATCTTCCTTTTTTTTTTTTTTCTAGATCGACATCCGACGCCCTCCCTAGCATTGAAAGACCAAATGGCTCTGTCACCCGAAACGATAATTGCCCTTGTCACTTTGATTGTGACTTGCCCTCCGTCGATGCTGCTGCTTTGGGCTTTTCTGAAGCGCAGTCATCGGACGTTATTTGTACCGAGTGAGTCAGAGATATATTTTTCTTGAGGCTGAATAGATTTACTGATGCTCCCTTCCTACCAGGGCCTTTACCTTGCCGTCGGTCTCAGAGTATAGCATCCCAAATATCGAATCAATACAATACAGATGACCCGAGAATACTTTTCGACAACATATCATACCGCTTGCATACTCATACGGGGCTTGTTTGTTTTCCCTTCAGAATGTTCTTGTAAAAGCAAACCAACTAATAGCTCTAACTTATCTAGCTCACCCCGCCATACAACACTCTTGCCATGAGGGCACATCAAATACGCTCCGCAACGGCCGTCCCTCCGTCAACCATTGAAAGGTAATTTTCCTGCCGTCCCGCTTTCAGTCTAATGCTAATCACTACCATGCACATTCAGAGAGCCAACCATACGTCAGTGGGGTCCACGAAATGAGACGTTTGAAGGTACCACCATTGTCATCGAACGGCATTCAGCCACGCAAGCTTCCTTGGTTGTTTCTGCTCCTACTGAGGAGGTTGTTTGAAAAATGTCCGGCTGCTTCAGATTAGCATAACTTGCATTCGTGGTCTGCGTTCTAGAATGGTAATGGCTTGATGTGTTTTGATTGTAGGATCGCCGTTCCATGGGAGTTTCTTGTCATGTCGGATCCAGTCTAGAGGTGCCGTCTATCGTCAATATTTCCAGAAGAGGAAAAACTTGAAGTCCGGGGTATCCCATCTGTCTAGAAACAATTTTTCTGCCCAAAACACAGTAGTTATCAATTTCTATAAACTATCCAAAATCGACTAAAGAGAACCCCCAAGGTGCTGGGTAGAGTATGAACTCGATTGCCTACGATGTAGCTGATTAAAACTCGCTCTCTAGCTTCCGCCTCTATATACGAGGCTTGTGATAAACGACAGCGAACATTGACATGAAGGCTAACTTTATAATCTCCTTCAAAAAGGTGATGACGATAATAAAGCCGCTTAATTGAACAGTCTACCGCAAACCTTGCAAAAATAAATAATATAATGACCAGCTAAACTTAATGGAGTAAACAAAATAAACCGCGTGTTAAGAGGGATACTGGTATAGTCAGATCCCTTTAGACGTGTATTTATTTATATTACAATCAAATTGAATAAAATATAAAAGCGGCAACATATTTCGACCCCGGTCGTGCGTAGTCACATTTAGTTGTTACATATATTGTAGATACGTAGAAAAAGCACATAATGTGTGTGGCTAGCAAAATAATGATCCGAATAACTTCACGTGCATATTACGTGTGACAGAACAACTTAGTACAGGAAATAGAGTAACTGACGGAAGTACCACTCAATACACATGTGGTGTTGTTAATTCTGTAATACAATTTTGTATTCAATCGTGTTGAATCCAGCAAGTTATTTGACAATTCACATGGCTATCATAATATATATAATGTCGTGGTACTCGAACCACCCGTTACCCGTCCCACTTCAAAAGGTTTATGTATTGAACGATTCAGTGCGCATGTGGATTGATGTTTCTTAACTCGTCCCGCCTTTTCCTAGCTTCATCTACGTTACATTACAATATACTATTCAGGTTAGTCTCTCCAAAGAAGAAGTCCAGGTCGCGAATAGAATTATTAACTTCTTGTCGTGCGATACCGTATCTAATGACTCAAACCTATGATAAGATTGTCGGTGTAGATAGATGAGAAATGCAACAGCAGAATTATACCGAGTCTCATAGTGAAGACATTCATGGATGCTCACGCTTCCGCCTAGCTCGTTGTACTCCGCGAAGCGTAGCAGTAGATCCTACACTATTGCACATCTCGGTACATAGTCGAAACATGATAACCGGACGAAGGCGGGGAAGTAATTCATCCGACCGAAACTTGGCAACAATGATTTCTCTCAGATCCTGCTGGATAGTCTCTGCAGAGTCTCTGTGGAAATCCTGGCGGGTAGTGACCAGGTCGTAAGGCTCGCATTTCTCAGCCAATGCGAACAACGCATTAAGTCTAGTTTCATCAGATAAGTCAACAAGTTGTACGCGGGAATCCCCTAGGAGTCCGAAAAGGCCGGTGCTCGCTCCAATACTCGCTTCGGTGTGTACAACGATGACACGCATAACAACCATCCAGGTGGGCAGCTGGTTGAGGATATCACTCAGCTCAGCCCTGGGCATGTGGAGAGTTTGAAAATATTCAATAAACAAAGAACCGCCGCCGGCTGCTTGCGAAGCATCCCATGCGAGACTTTTGAGTGGTGAACCTTTACCAACAAAGTCGGCTTCGTAAGAGGGGTGCCAGTTAAGATGTATTAAATCTCGCGTATGGTCAAACCACGCCATGTTTATAGAGGTGTCACTCTCCCATTGGGCCTCTGATGGCCTAGGCTTATGAAGCATGTTATCGGTGTTGTGGAAAAACTCAAAGAAGCCCCCAGTCTTCAAGGCGACTGCGCGTGACTCGACACACACTCGAGTAATGACCGGTGGCCGCCCATTTACCTCCGTCGTTTGATAAAGAAGGCACGGCGATGGAGTCTTGTAATCTGAGTGCTTAAATACGATCTCATAAAAAGGCTGGTCTTTCTCGCAAACTCGGTGCGGTAAACAAAGACGCCAGATCTCAAGCCTTAGTTCGGCCGGAAGTTTGGGAAAGAGATGAAAGACGCTACCTTGGGGAGGTGACTGGGACTCGTTCATGGCCCAAACCGGAGACTTTTCTCCTGAAACAGGATTCAAGTTGCAGTGTGTATGGTGCATGATGGCTAAGAATCCGCACGCCTTACGACCCAAGTAGTCCCCGCATTAACGCTAACTTATCGTGCTAAAATTAGCTACTAACAGCCCCTGGTGTCTTATTGTTGTAAAAAGCACTAGCAATTCAGATATTTCGATCGTACCAGAGGTCGATCGTTCTAACAAGGTTACCGTTGGGTCTGTCATTTTGGTCGTCCTTTAACTGAGAGGTCACCGCAAGTAGGAAAATCGGCGACTGCTGTCATGAACAGCACTTGAGAATAATATCGCATAGTAGGAGAGTAAGTATAGTACTAGTTTAACATCATCTTTAATATTTTAAATTTTGGTGGTACGGAGAATACTAGTAACTTTTCGGGATCTCTCAATGGTGGAAAAAAAATCACTTGTCAGGGCTTATCCTATATAGAGGCCTGTTCCGGCAAAGTAATCACAACACATCCGATATAGTGTAACGGTCAACATAGCCGGTTTTCATCCGGCAGCTCGGGGTTCGATTCCCCGTATCGGAGTTCATTTTTTCGTAAATTTTCAATCAATATTAATTTCTCCCTCACAGGGATTAAACACCCAATTTTTTTTCCAAAAATATTTTTTCAACAATACTCGTGGTTAGTCCACAGGTGCCGAAGTCTCACAGCAATGAGAATGTAGTCCCGGTTAAGTAGACACGCTACGGCTATGCATGGACGAAAAGTTCTTGGCCATGTTAAACAGTGTACTCCGAACAAGCACACAGTTTAATAAGGAAGCCCATCAAATGCAAAACTTGCATAGTCGTTGCAGAAATGTGGCTTGCGCAACAAATATTCAAGCCACGAATCCGTGAGGCTATGGCATTCCTACGCCTAATAGAGCTTCCTTCGTATTATTCGACTGCGGCCATCTCCGTCAGATGATGACTTGTTCAATCGCCACATGCAGGGTTCCCACTTTTACAAGAAAATCGGGCATTCACCAAGAAACATTTGCGTAGATAGGTAGGTTCATACAATGCATGGGCTTCACTTTGCGAAACAACCCACATCTGTATATGAAACTACTCTGTACATAGAAAAAACCAAGTCCCAATGAGCATCGGGTGAAAAGTCTAACTTTCGGGTGGAGCTGTTTGCTTTTTTTTTCCCCTCTTGTCTAAAATAGCTCCCATGCACGGGTAGCCACTTTAAATTGTGTTATCGTGTTAAACTACTGCTAGTGTACCCAGTACATGGGCCATGTCATAATTATTACCCTAACCCTAGCCCTAACACCCACTTTTTGGACTTCTCACTGCTGGGGACAATTCATACATACATATAGAATACACATCTTGCGTGGTAAATTAATAAAAGCAAATATGTAATTTGGGACTTCATGTTGTATTATCATTCTCTTTTCTCGAGATTCTCAGTGTATACCAACACCAAAAGATCACTACCCTCAGCTGTAGTCGTCTATGTAGTATCAACTAAACATGCATAGCGTCGGGAAAAATGGATAAAAGCAAAAAAGCGCATTTGCCTAGCAGCCAACCACCATTGGCGGTTGGGCGGAGGAACTTAGTTCCTGACTCGGCCTGATGGCTATGTAGTGCATATATGCTCCACACCAATACGTAGTCAAATGTATCAACTATAGTTCTCTGGATGTCGATCGTCATACAGAATGCATGAACTATAATATGTAACTCAGAAGCGTTACCCACCTAATAATTCGCCACATCTCATGAAGAATCTACGAGATCTAGCTGAATCAATCGCTTCTGACGTGGCAAGCTTGCGAACTCCGATCTCTAGCTAATGATGGTCTTTCTACTTCATTTGACCGCTACATGTACTTGTATGGTAGTTCACTCATAATATTGTTCTTGTTGTGGCGCAGTCGATGTCAGAGCGGTATCAACAATATGAAAAAAAAATTTGAGTTTACTAGTCGAGTTCGGAGTCGGCTTGTTTAGAATGACTGAAGACTGAGTAGTTAGCCAATTGAAGACCGGTAATTCCTAGCATCAATTGATATTCACTTGAATTTGAGAAAGAGCAGAGGAGATCTCCGGGTATATAAACCCGTGCCTCTCTCAACCGTAGACTACATGTATATATACTTTTTCTTTTTTTCAGATCAATTGATATTTTTATATTTTTTATTCAAGGGTGACCTATTGCCCAGTGTTGATTTCATTTCATTTTATTTATTAGACAAAAAACATCATCAACATGTCAACCCCGTCTCTCCGCCTGGCTCGCAACGAGCTATTCAAAACGCCATCCACGACCTTGACGGAAGATGAAATGATAAAACTTGCATACAAGCGCGCTCGTATCTCTGCGCTTGAATATGGTGAGTACTCCCTTTAAAATAACACAGTCCATAAAGAAATAAGTTAATAGGGAAAAAAAAAGGAATGACGCCCGAGGATGTAATACAGCTCACACCCAAGTTCTGGAAATACCACCTCGATCTGATCCACACGGTTACATCTTCTACATTTGTGCTGGTTACAATTCAATACAATCTCGCCGCGGGGACTATTGGTAGATATGTCACTGGTAGACCAGATTTGCAGAAGTTGATGGACCGGATTATGAAGTTCGATGTGTCGTAAGTAAACATCAAAAGAATACAGGATCTTTATCAGTTCTGGGCGCAGAATTTTAACATTTTTCTCAGGGCACAGTTTATGCTCACTGAAGTTGGCCACGGCCTTGATGCTAAGAACATGGAGACTACGGCTACTTTGCTTCCTGGTGGCGAGTTTGATCTTCATTCACCGAGTCCACACGCAGCCAAGTATGTTCTTCTCCTTGCCTCTGATAGAATAGTAGTAATTTCCTAACTTAAATTTGTCCCTTAGATACATGCCTCCAACAACCCCGGTCAAAGGGTTTCCCCGAGTCGCTGTGGTCATGGCACGCTTGATTGTCGGCGGCGAAGATCACGGCGTGCGGCCGTTTATTGTCTGGCTCAACGATGGTCAGAACATGTCTGACGGAATTACATCCAAGTATGTAACTACTTTCCAATAACTAGAGAGGAAAAGACCTCAAAAGTCTAACCGAAGGAAAAAAGAAAACTCCCCATGCGAGCCGGCGCAAAACCCATCGACCACTCCATCACCAGCTTCAACCACGTCCGCTTACCAAGCTCGGCGCTCCTAGGATCCATCGAAAAGCCCGAGAGCATGCGCAGTAACTTCTTCTCTGTGATATCACGCGTGACTGTCGGAACCCTAGCGCTATCCATGGTCATGGTCCCGGGGTTGAAGCGCGCAGTGTACGTGGCTGGAAAATACAGCCTGAAACGAAAAGTGCAAGGTTTTGATGGCAAGACGACACCCATCATTGCGTTTCGCACGCAGCAGCGGCCGATTCTGCATACGCTGGCCAAGATTGCTGTGTTTGAGGCGTTTGCAGAGGATAGTGTGCAACGATTTATGCAACCGGATTTGACGCCCCCGGTACGCCATGGTATAGCCACAGCGCTCAAGGCTGTGTTCAACTCGGCTACGCAGACAGCGCTTTATGAACTTGCCGAGCGGTGTGGAGCGCAGGGTTTGTTCAAACATAATCATATCATTGAGAATCAGCTCGAGGCCAGGGGGAATTCGATTGCCGAGGGAGATGTCACGGCACTATGCATAAGTACGCATCTTCTTTATGCCAAACCTTACAAAAAAGAATACAAAAGTTAACATAGACAGGACTCGCCGCTGAACTCCTCCTCGGAAAATACGAAATGCCACCCGCCCAAACCCCATCCAGCCTGCTATCCAGACACGAACAAGGCCTGTTCAGCGAATGCCGCGCCGCCGCCGCCCAAATCGCCACAAGCACCGGCCAGCACCGCAGCGTCGAATTCAACAACGCCATCCTGCCACGCTGCCAGTCCCTCATCGAAGCAATCGGGCACCGCATGGCCTATGAAGCCGCGGTCGCCGCGGGTGTAGACGCAGATCTGCTCGCCCTCTTTGAAGCAGGCTGTATCCTGCAGGACTCGAGCTGGTATGTACAGCATGCGGAGGGGCTCACGCGTGAGGAGCAGTTTGAACGTGAATCGAGAGCGTTGAATGCTGTGTTGCCGCGGTTGGAGAGTTTGTTGGATGGGACGGGCGCGGCGGAGTATGTTGATGCGCCGATTTTGTCGCAGGCAGCGTGGGATGCGTTTGAGGCATCGTTGGAAGTTTTTGAGCCGGTGGACAAAGCCAGGAAGACAATTGTGCAGGTGCAGAGTATGCTGTGAGAGGAATTATAGAGGGCTAAATGCATCAATTGGTAGTTGGGTGGTTTCTCTTTTTTTTTTTTTTTTTTTTTTTTTTTTTTTTTTTTT